ATTAAGGCGTAATTCAAACGATCTCATATGGAGTAGGAGTATTAAACATGCCTGCTGCGCAGATATTCTTTTGGTAAACTTGATTTGTACCCGTTCTAGCTAATCTAGTAAGCACCGAGTTGATGGTGACCACATTGGTGACCAGTACTCCAGAAAAAGTTTTCATTTCTGATAGGTGGCCAACGTGCTTCCAAAGCAGGACACATCATTAGTTGAGATTTTGATCGGGTCCGTACGACCCTCCTCCACCTCCTTTCGAGGGTTGACACAGACTGTGTGAGTACCACCCCTGGTTCCTTCCTCATCGTGCCGGGAGGGGGTCAATAACACATGTGGGAGGGGGTCAATAGCACATGTGAGACGTCAAAAATCACGACGAAAATAAGAGTCCCCACTTCCGCATCCTACCTACCAATTCCTTAGCTTTTCCCCAATCCTACCACTCATTAACCAAGTTTCATTAATAATAGTTCCGAGGAAATGGGGAATCTGTGACCAAGGTGGTCACACATCAGCCAGAACGTTTCCATTGAGAATTAGCTCGTTTGACATTTTGGAAAATTACACGGAATTAATGCCATAATACTATGACCAGGCCTAAAACCTATCTAAATATTTCAATCCCGCAGGAAGAAGTGTAACTTGTTAAATACTGCAAAGTTTTCGGAGTGATAATGAGAATAGTTTTCCATCGGAAAAATCTGTTCAAAAGATGCCGCTCGATGTCGGTGTAGCACGTCGCGGGGTAAAACTGGAGTCGGCTTCACTTGCTGTGCGAAGGAGAGAACGCCGCGGCACGCAATGGGTAAAGTTCTCCAAGAACGTCCACGACCGATCCACACGCGAGGTACAGCATCGTGATGAGTGGAATGGTGGCGTTAGTAGACCCCCCCCTCGAGAGAAGGTCTCGGTACGACCCCCTCCCTCCCCATCACTCACCTACCACTTTCCTGCAAGTTCCCTGGTTCCTACCAGTTTTCGCCCAAAAGAAACGTAAAAAACCGCGAGAAGTCAACAGCCGGAAGAATTTTTTTTCATTTCCACTTTCCCAACACGGCAAATTTCTATCAAAGGCACGTACGACCCCCGCTCCCAACAACGAACAAATACGACCCCCCCCCCCCCCTCTCTCCAGAAGCCTGGTACGACCCTTCCCCTGTGCTTCACACAATGATGTACCCTGTTCACACGTCAGCAGAATAGCCTTGATGTTGATGGGGTTCACTTCGAATAATTCTCTTTGCTGTTTAAATATCAAACAGGAGCGAACGAATTTCCACCCCAATCACACCTGTACCCCTTCACCCAGTATTATGGTAGCGCGAGAGCCTTGAGGGGCGCAGATCGGCTCGTTGGGGGTACCAAATGTTTCTCAGCGGAGTCTGTGCAGGTCATCTTGTGAGGACCGAGTATTGTGACTCTCTTGTGGCATTTGGCTGCTTTACAAGAGTTCACAAGTCTCACCAAATGAGACTTGTTTGATAGCAACTTACAAAAGGAACTAACGAAAGTGCAAAATTCCCCTCCCAAGCCGAATTTTGCCCCTCTGAGCCGATTGCACTCCAAATCACTCCATAAGTTTCACCAACTCACTTCAAAATGAGGAAGATACTATATTCTGAGCGATCCCGTAAATCCTTCTGGGTGATCAGTTCCCTTCGTGGTTCTCGGATTAACACCCTAAGGAACAATCAGTTCCACCACATTTTCAAAAGCGATAGCCCAGCGCCTGTGTTACCATGCTCTCTGATTTACTTTCATTTTGAATATGTAAAGGATAAACAAGAGCGCCTCATCATTTCAACCTTTAATCTCTAACAATTATGTACAGAAGATGAAGACATCAAAAAAGAGAATCGTGAATTCCGAGGATCATATCACACCAGATGATCACATTAGTCGTGAAATACCCTCACCCCTATTCTTGAAGCGAATACCTCGTAATGTATTTGGCCTCCGTCGACTCAATCCTATACGGTTACCTCGCCGCCGGCCGGACCTAACAGTGCCCACGATCGTTTGTGGTCTGTTTCCTAACGGCATATTCATCGCTCTTCCTGGTGATGTCGCAGCTGTCGTCCATGTTGGTGTCTGCATTGCAGGTGCTGACGTTGATGGTGGTATCGCTACCCGTGAAAAAGTTTCATTTGGTGGATCTTGCGAGGCTAAAAACTGTGGCTGTCTTCCTTGCCCCACTGCCGGTGGCGTCCACCGCATGTGGTTCTCCCCTTGGAACGGCGGTACCGGCCCTCGTCTCTGTACGAACAGCCCATTCGGTCGTGGCCTTGGTGGCATGCCACGGGCTAGCGATCTCAACTGCGCCATCCGAAGCGATGACGGTGGTCGTCTTACGAACATAAACCTATCAGGTGTTCGGAATCGTGCTTGCTCCCTCATTTCTGAATGCTGCGATGGTGGTTCTGGCCATATTGGTCCACGCTGCGTCAGGTATTGCACAGGTGGTCGCGGTCTTGGTCGCATTGCCCGCGATGGTGTCATATGTGGCCTCCATTGCGCTCTTGCAGCAGCCATTGGAAGCGGTCTCTCTTCTGAAGTTCGAGGCGGTGTCATATAAGCTCCCTTGCCTGCTACTGGCTGCGATGTCCATGACGGTGTTGTCATTGGCTGCGGTGTCCATGGCGGTGTTGTCATTGGCTGCGGTGTCCATGACGGTGTTGTCATTGGCTGCGATGTCCATGACGGTGTTGTCATTGGCTGCGGTGTCCATGGCGGTGTTGTCATTGGCTGCGCTGGCACTGGCTGTGCTGCCGGTGGTTGTGCTGCCGGTGGTTGTGCTGCTGGTGGCTGTGCTGCCGTTGGTTGTGCTGCTGGTGGCTGTGCTGCAGGTGGCTGTGGTGGTGGCTGTTCTGTCGCTGGCTGTGCTGCTGGTGGCTGTTCTGCCGTTGGCTGCACTGCGGCTGGCTGTGCTGCCGCTGGTTGTGCGGCCGCTGGCTGTGCGGCCGCTGGCTGTGTGGTGCTGGCGCTGGCGCTGGCCAAACGTTCCCTTGCAACCGGTTCAGCTCATCCATGGTCCTTGTCTGTTCTTCGTAGTCGAATACTATTTCGTTAGTGGGAGTGGTAGGTTTAGGCTTTCGGTTATTCGGCTGTTTTGTCTGGTACTTGCCGGTGATTAGCCCATAGATATATTCGGACAGGCTCTTTAGGAATTCTGGCGACATAGTTCCGGCCAAAATTGAGTCTTCATTGCTCATCTTTTCTACGTTGTTGCTGGTCACGGCGGCATCGGAGCTCCGATCTGCTCGACTTCTCTGAAAAAAATAGAAAAATTGGTACACAAAATAATAGCGTTCATCCCTATTTGACACTGGTCCGCTTGATGTTTTCTCGTGAATAGCTTCAGTTTGGATTATGGCTGGTAGGGTATGCAGCGTGAACCAGCCCCTTTCTGATTTCTTATTTCATTGTGACGCTTCGCGCGCTTGATTTCCTTATTCAGCTGCAGGAGAACTCAGGTGCGTGTTTTAACTATAAAGCGAACCTATCCAGACTGGTAGCTGCTATTCTGAGTGCAAAAGTCCTCTTACCCAGTCATTAATCGACCAAAAATGGCAGGGCGTTAGGTCTTTGGATGCTTCCAGGCAGGGCACGCCATCGCGTTGTGATATTTTTGTAACATAAGCCACCGCTAATCCCATTACGACCCCCCCAATCCCGATTCTCTCCCATGCTACCTACGATTTCCTAGATTTTCCCAACTTCCTACCAGTGTTTTCGGCACTTGCAATAGGCAGTAAGTCGAGGTTGCCAATAACTAGCTCTTGTTTTCAACACTGGAAATTATAGTTGTATAGAATCTGGCGGCGCTAATAATATAGGAGGGGAGTATATCATCCAAAAACCGGAAAAGCTTTCTCAAAGCCGCAAATTCCTTCATCAGCGTCCGTGAAACAAGAGAAATCAACTATCAAAAAAATTTTTCTCAGACCAAATACGACCCCCCCCTCCCTCGCGGTCAAATACGACCCCCCCCGTTGTGATTATCACAGCGATGACGTTCCCTGCTTTCAGGTCCCTTATTTACTTGCACGTTGCATGCTGCTAAATCCTCAGCAGGTGTCGTACTGGGTCGCTGAAGAGGAGGCATATTCGTGTTCGGCTAAATTTGGCTCGGGAAATGTTTTTTGATAGATGACCTTTCCTGTTTCACGTGCGCCATCCACAACAGTGGGAATCCCCCACAGTGGAGAGGAGAGGCGAGGGTCGCACCGAGAAGAGAGGCCTTGAGAAAAAAATTTTCCGGGTTGTTGTCTCTCGTGGTTTTTCTTCGTTTCATATGTTTTATGTGTACCCCCCCCCCTCCCTCTCTGCTGGGCGGGGCAGTTCTGGCATTTTTCGGGGAAAATGTGAAGGAAGCCTAGCAAAATTTAGGAAGATCGTAGATGGAAGGAGGGATGGGAAGGGTCTCGTATGAGAGGAGCAAACGTGAGGGTAGGGGTCATGTTTTGCACCCCAAGCTGCGTTTTCCAACAATACTGAGTGGTTGAGGAAGGAAGCAAGCTTCGAGTGATTGCGACGACAGTAACTGTAAGGGAATGAGCATACTCCGAACTACTGTATGGCATATCAAACATACCAGATAAAAATGATGAATATGATCCGGCAAAAATGAACTATACCTACCCGAAACTCCCGAAAAATTCTTCCAATAAGACTCTCTACAAGAAAGGTTAGGTT